CGTCACGATTAGTACCAGTTGTGCTGGTTAGACCCTGCTCCGGAGTAGGAGCTAATTTGGTTCTCGAAAAAGGCAGTCCGGTACTAAAATCGCTCCCAGTTCCGGCGGTGCGAACACGCCGAAAAGTGGGTAGTTCCACAATTAGTTCTGGTACTATAAAAGGCCCTTATGTGGGAATATTTGCATAATGCCGCCCAAATGTGCACGCAAAGAAAGAAGGCGTGGTTTCAGTGTTGAAGCAGCCATGTCAGGGAGACACTGTGTGTTTCTAGGCGAAAGCAAAAGCACTTTATTTGGCCTTCCGAAAGTAGATGCATTTAGGAATCTTTAAGATTACTTACAACAGAACAGCAATGCATTTTATGGACGACCATTTCGTGAACCTAGGAGAGGAGATCATTCTGACTTTGCTATGACAATCTGGCGCTTCTGAATCAGCTACTGTTTTGTTGTTAGTTTAAGTATTTGCTATTGACTGTTCAAATGCGGAGTTTTGCGCATAGTATAATTTTTTATTTTACTAGTACATTTTTTAATTGAACTCTACTGTAGCCATTTGGACTAGTCAGAACATCAGACAAGTAAAAAAGCAGATCTGACTAGTAAGATAAGAATTGTTACTAGTAGTAATTACAAAAGATACTAGTGTCTAATAAATAAGTACTAGTACCTAATGAATAAATACTAGTATCTATTAAATAGGTACTAGTATCTAATGAATAAGTACCAGTATCTAAAAAATAAGTACTAGTATCTAATGAATGCTTACTAGTAATATTTAGATAGATACTAGTCACTATTGCAATAATTACTAGTCAGAAATTAAAAGATGATATCAAAAACAAAATAACTACGTCTCCTTGTTCATTTGGAGATATCTTCAACCTCATAAAGAACTAGTGAGAATGTATTTGGAGATATCTTCATTTAAACAGATCATTACATAAACATGAGTACCCCTCAACCATCTAATCAGAGTCCACATGGTAATACAATACATTAATATGCTGAATTAATTTGATTGTTAAGTATAGGGCTAACTGGCTTTGGATGTTAGCCTTCCTTGCTAATTGGTTACCATGAAAACACAAGGAAATATTACAAACCTGTTGTCCAACAAAAGTATATTGACATGTTTTACTCCAAATTCACTTCATAACATCAGTCGAGCGTTTAAAATAACTTCCATAAACTTATTATGGGCGAAACTACTTCGCTTGTACATCCACTGTTTACTGCTCGGTTTCAGCGACAGTGAATGTAATTCATCATATTCGCCTGCTGACAGTGATGAATCACTGGGACGACAATTCTAATGAATGAACATTAACATTAAAGAAACATGCAAACTGCCAAACAAACAGATAATGACACAAAGAGGAAAATAACTGTTAAAATAGGTGTCTTGTCGCATCCTGCCACTAGAGGTCACTCGTACATTGACCAACAAACACATAAGGCTACTATATAAAAAAAATCAGAGGTGGCCAAAGTACATGACATATGATCGGGCGATGCACTACCTTCAAAAACAAACGTAATCCACTGCGTCTTTCAGTGGATCAGATATTGGGAGTAAATGACGACTGCTATGTTCAATTATTTACATCCAACAACAAAGGCAGCGGCTATTTACACTAAGTGCAAATAGCAATGGATTCTATTTACACTATATTAAAATAGCAGGATTTTCTACTGTTTATACTACTTATTAGAGGCAATTATCTGCACCTCGGTATTGTAATTATAGTACATTATAAATGCAATAATAACTTATTGAGTGTAAATTTTAACTAAGTGCAAATAGCAATGGATTCTATTTACACTGTTAAAATAGCAGGATTTTCTGCTGTCTTACAAATTGCAAATAGTGGCAATTATCTGCACCTCGGTATTGTAATACATTATAAAACATATCTTTCTTGTTGTTAATTTGTTAATTTTTTAAGTCAAATATATTTCGCGAATAGGGCTATTTATTCATTTTTATATGTGATTTTATTCTGTTTTCTCTGTCATAAAATTGCTTATAGGACTATTTTGTTTCAGCTGTAGCCTATTTCAATCAACAGAAATATTTTAATCGTTTTAGTTAACTTTAATAACCCATGAATGGTAAAACATCCATATAATTGCAGTAGGCCTATACAATTTAAATTTCCCAGCTGTTTCAAGCATCGTTAGTAGGCTATATGTCATTAGTTCCATTGAACTCAATTGATAACGATGGAATTGCGATCGTAGTTGCTTTTGGCATACGCACCCAGGGGTCTCACAGCCATCCAGGCCACTTCAGAAACCTTGCTGTTGCAAACATAATTTACATTAAGTTTAAGAATAATGACAGAAATGTTGGCAAAGTATTCTGTTGTCAAACACTGTTACCAAGGTAGAGTAACAATGCTGACAATGCGGTAATAGAATTGACAGTCCATCGGACAATTCTGTTACTTTACAATTCTGTTACTTAAAGGGTCAACTCTGTTTATGAACTATTTTCACAAAAAAAACAATACAATTGTTGTTTAAAATCTAATAAACATTATTGATTTATTTTTGCACCCTTATAATATTTCAACAACATTTCCTTTTTTTAACTGGATATTGTATATAATACATTTCCAGATGAAAAATATTTGCTCCAAGTGGACGGCTCTGTGAAGAGATAGGTATTTTATTTTTATTTTTAAGGTATGCATAGTGAAATATTATCTCAGTTTCAAGTGATGGAATGTAAGGACTGTTTGTCTAAATTAAACTACTGGAACAAACATCCTTAATGGTATTTATGCTTACTGAACACTCAACTCCAGTGTACCTGTGTAAAAAACATGTAGATAAGAACATGATCTAACGAAAAACTGAGTACATTTGTGTGTGAGATTGTGACTATGTATGAATTTTCTCAATCAGAGTCACAATGGTGACAAACCAATGTTTTTAACCCTATGCAGACTTGGTGGATCCAGAAACTGCATAGGGCACATTTTACCCACACTTCCTTTGGCTTTTGAGCTGCCAAAAAAAAAAAGCTCCATATAGACAACATGAAAGTTCTATAGGGAAAATGTTACAACTTACCCCACCCCTGTCATCCAATGTGTAATTAGCTGTATTAGCATGTGGTTTGAAATTAGCAGTTTAAAAATGCATCACATTTTTCTTGAGAATCTACAATTTATTCTAATGGAAGTTATATGATTTTATCTGTAACAGTTTGTAGTAAGTATGTACATATGTACAATGCACGTCACACATGAAAAAAAATAGCTGCTTGCATAAAATTCAAGGCATTGATGTTTGCCTACAAAACCACCACTGGCTCTGCACCCCTTTACCTAAATTCCTTACTTCAGAGTTATGTGCCCTCTAGAAGCTTGCATTCTGCAAGTGAACGTCGCTTCATTTTTTTAATTGAATGATATTTTTGTGCTTATATCATAGTGATTAACTGGCAAAGTTAGCCTACGTTATTTGTCTCTCCTGGTGTTGGCGAATTTAATTTAGAAAAATCAATTATCAATTAATATCAGATTAATATCAATAAGACTTGTAGGAAGACTTGGGCAGAAGCTAGGTGCACTGTGCTTTTATTTTCCATTTCTAGTTATTATTTGCCCTCTCATTTATGGAATAATTGTTCAATTCTGGACAGGGGCGCGGGAAGTAGGGGTGCTGAGGGGGCTGCAGCACCCCCTGTTTTTTTCACATGGTTGCAAATGCAACGCCAAGTTTGTTCATGTAAATTTATTCAGTTTTAGCATTTAATAATTTGTAAATTGTAGGTGGGCTATAATAAACCCATGTCATCTTTATAAACATGATTAATTTTACTTGTGATGTTTTCTATATGGGATGATTAGCCTAATCCTCATGAACACGTGACGCTAGACCCCCCCAACACGGACACACACAGCACCCCCAGCCGAAAGCATCTTCCCGCGCCCCTGATTCTGGAACAACTCTGGATGTAAAAATTCTAATGTTTATGAAAAAATGGGACACTCTGCTTTGGAAAGATGTAAGGGTGAGTAAATGATGACAGAATAATAATAGGTGAATTATGCCTTTAATTGCTGTTTATTTTTTAGTCACCTAAAAATGACAAACCTAAAAAAACGGCTGCAATTCATGAAGCTTGCAAGAGAGCACATGGGCTTTTCTGTCTAAAAAGTCAATTGTGTCTTTTTTACCCTGCTGTTTAAAAGTTTGAAATAATTAACATGTTTTAAATGTTCTTCTTTTTAAGACTTTACGAGGATACTTGCCAAAATGACATTTCCACTTAATTGTGTGTGTCCGTTTAAGCCCGATAAAAGAGAACATAGTTCGGTAATGGCGCGCTGTCGCTGTTGTCCGTGTGCGCATTTGAATGTTTTAAAATGGTTTGAACGCTTCAGCAGCACATGCATGTGGACATTTTTTTTTCATGCATTGTAGAAAAAAAACACTTTTATTTTTCGATACTCATTTTTAAGCAGAAAATAAATGGTAGAAGTTACACGGATTTTTATGAACCCAATAATTTATATTTTAAACCGATAAATCCCCCTCCATGCCCCACCCTTGTTGGTATGACGTCACATCCATCAATAGATCACAGATTAGCGCGGGCATTTTTTGCACTGCTGCACTAATATGGACACCAGGCAACAGCAAGGCAGCGATAATTTAATATCGCCGGACAATAATGAGCAACATGCAGTAGCAGTGTTTGACAGAGTTTTTAATGCATTGCAACGTGCCAGACGAGAATTAATGGCTACCACATCTTCAAATGGTACTGACGGTACAAACATTTTGACTGCAACAAGAACACTTTTCAGGAGACGCAGAAATCAAGCTCAAGGTAAGTAAATTTAGTGAGTGGATGAGTATTTTTTTTAAAGTGATATCATATAGGCAGTTTTAACAGGGGCAATGGTGATAAACCTAAAATAAGCTATTAAAAGATACATCAATGAACTGAACTACAAATATAGCATAAGTGGGGGCTTAAGGGGTTTGGCGCGCTCTGCAGCTGAGAAATTGAGTGTCCCCCTCAAACATTTTGGCATTTGGCCCGGTGCGACCGCACCAGTTGCACCCCCCAAGGACGGCCCTACACTACTTATTTATACTTTTATGCATTATACACTTTTATTAATACCCATGTAGAGCCTATTCACAACCATCTTTAAAGGTACCTTATGTAGCACCTGCCCCTTTATCGCCAACGCTAAAATGCCCTAACTAGGTGCCACCCGACCGCGATTTCTGTCCCCTCCCCCTCCCAGAACGTGATCGTGCCCTCATAATGCCATTTCTCCCCTGCCCCTAGGAGGTCTGTGCACATCTATCAAGAAGCACACTGATCCCATGAAATGTTAGTCTCTTCCTTATTTCGATAGGTCCTTTCTTGGAACAGAAGAGGTTGAAACAATGAATCATAAAGTTATATGAAATGACTCAACAAAGAGATTCAATCTGATTAATAAAATCTCTGTTGATAGGCACATCCACCGGAAGAGGCCACTCAAGCTGGCAGGTGGGCCTCTTTCTCCTCCCAGGACCAGACCTTCAGAAACTTCCATCTTTGTCTGACCGGCATGCCCTGACAAATAATGGATTAGGTTTGTCATTCACTTTTTCTTCAGCCATGACATGATGCACTGTATTATCATGAATGTATTATTGTATTATCACTGTATTATTCCATTATGATCATGGCTTGAATGTTTAAAATATATTTCATTTATTCACATACACATCTTGTACACATATGTACAACACTTTATACTGCTCATCTGGTTCAACTATAGAACATCAAGTTTACAGAAGCTGCAAGTAGCTTATAATGATGCAATGAGAATTTTACTAAAGAGACCTAGATGGCATAGTGCAAGTGAAATGTTTGTGAGTGCAAGAGTAATCACTTTTAAAGCACTGTTATGAAATCTTATGTATAGATTTATCTGCCAGCTAAATGCTTCTAAAAAATAAGATTATTGTGGGTTTATCAAATATAAGGGTTAGTACTACACGGTGTCATTCAAAGCTGTGGAGACATTGGTATTGTTGTATTTTGTAACTCTTTATTGTGGGTGGTACATGCTGTGGGTTGTATATGTTGTCCTATTCTTATTTGGACCTTGAGTCTGTAATAAAAGTTTGGTTGATTGATTGATTGATTATACATTCAGTGTATTTCAAAACATTAGCGTTATCAGTGCAAACATATCTGTAGTTCTGAGGAGAAATGCTAATTTTTTTTACAATGTTTTTTTTCAAGGAGTTCCAGCGAAGGAAGTAGCTGATTGCCAATTGTCCACAATTGATTTAAACTGGAGCCTGACAGATTTAAATAATTTTGTTTGTCAGAGCTTCCCTATGATTAGTTTGAACCTGGTGGGTTTTGAGTTGGCAAAAGTAGACAAGGGGAAAAAAATCAAGAAGGTACAAGCAAGCTCTGTGCGAGATCTGAAGAAGATTGTGGGAAAAAGCAGACTTTATGTTGTCCCTCGTGCTGAAGTGGGCCAGGTACAGTGTAGTTTTAGTGTCAAAATTGGTGCATTTAAAACCACAGTGAGTTCCCTTTCATGGGAACTTCGAACTGCGTCCTCTAGGGGTCGCTATGGGGAACGCCTTGACGTTGTCTCTACAGCCAATCAACTTGCCTCTGAGTCAACCAATCACAGAACCTAACCCTGAAACAACAGAGGTAATTTAAAGTGTAGTTGTTTTCAGTTGCTCCTTACAGAATGAAATAAAAAACAATAAAGGCTTTAACTGCAGTTTAATTTGGCATTTTGGTAATATTTAGTTTTTAATATCAGCCCTTTTCATTGTTAGTCTTTCACTGAATGACCAATGACTATCTTATTGACAGTCATTACATATAATTATTTTATTATGCATATTTTCAACACTATGTGGTTGCCATGGTTTAGTTCTAATTATTACAATTATTTAGACTAATAAAAATGATTGATTGATGTTTCTTAAATGTTAGTTATGCGTCCAAGAAATATAATGTATTATTCATTTATTTAAAACCATTTATGTATAATTTCACTGTAGTTAAAAAGTGTCAAAATTGTTGTATTTAAAATCACTGAGATTTTCATGATATTGTCTCTACAGACAAGCGACTTGCCTCTGATTCAACCAATAACAGAACCTGAAACAACAGAGGTAGTTTAAGACTTAGTTATTTCAGTTTCTCCTTTTCACAGAATAATAAAAAAAATGTGGTATTTTGGAATTTGAATTTTGGCATATTTAGTTTTTAATAAGACCTTTTTATTGTTAGTCTTTCACTGAAACACTGAATGACCAATGATCTTATCTTATTAACAGTCATTCAATTATATAATTCTTGTTTATTATGCATATTTTCAACACCATGTGGTTGCCATGTTTTAGTTCTAATTATTACAGTTCTTTAATAAAACACTTTTTTGATGTTTCTTATGTTAGTTATGCTTCCAAGAAATATACATTCTTAATTTTTATCATGTAATTAATGTGTAGTTTAAGAGTGTCAAAATTGGTGTATTTACATTCACTGAGGTTTTTATCATCTCTCTACAGACAAGCAACTTGCCTCTGAGTCAACCAATCACAGAACCTGAAACAACAAATGATTTAGAGGTGATGTAAAACGTATTTCATTTCAATAGTTATTTCATGTACTTGGATGAATATGAAAAATTAGTAACATTGCTATGACAAATTTTAAGAGAAAGATGATTTAAGTTAATTGACATTACTGCACAAATATTATGATTTTATTAATTATACTGCATAAAATGTGTTCGCAGGAGTGGAGAGATATAAGGCGACAGCAAGACCAAGAGTACGAACAATCACTAAGAGCTGATCAGGAAAAGGTACGTCTTTTAACATTCTTTACAAGTGTTTCCATGTGTAAAATGTAAGTAAAAATATTATTGATAGATGCCTATTCACCTGTTGGCAGGATCGGAGGACAGAAGAAATATCTCAATATGAAGAGAGGCGCTTAAAGGTGCTTTGTATTTTTTTCAACTTGCCTCTACTAAGGAAGGTGCTTCTTTTTAAAGTCTCGAGCACATTCAAAAAAAATTTTTTTCAAACAACATTTGTCTGTCTCACAGATAGTAGAGGAAAGACTTATGAGGACAGATGAACAACCAGCTGATGGCATACCATTGAAATTTACTTTCCCAGATGGCACAATGAAAATAAGACGGTTCCAAGTATTTGATCAAATGCAGGTAAAGCTGTTGAATAACTCAATATAATTTTTAGTGTTATAATGTTAATGTTACGTAAAAAAATTATTGCCATTTTTATTGAACTCCACACCTAGACCTGAAATATCCCAAAACAAAAGATTGCAATGTATCTGTGTTTCAAATGACAAAACGCTGCATGTAAGATGTCTGTGTTGTCCCTAAATTTTTTACATCTTACAACAACAGCAACAAAATCTTACTATTTTGCCCACAAAAGACAGAATCTGCTTTCATTTTTTAAATGCACATATCTACAGAAAGTTGTTAATGGTTTAAAGTATGATAGCGTATATGATTACCTTAAATGTAGTACACTTAAATTGTGTGCTACATAAAATGTAGTTTTTATGTATTTTAGGTCCTGTTTGACTTTGTGGGAACACATTCATCAGCCACAGAGTATTTTTATATAAGGGAAGCTATATCAGCAGTTTCAATATCCAGCACAGTTCCTGTGACTCTTCTGGATCATTACTTGACTTCTCCATTGAACATCCATGTTCGATGGATGGACATGGAGGATGTACAGGTAAATAAATTCCTATATGATGATTTAGATTATTCAGACTTGATGACATACCTTTTTTCAGGACTTTAGGAAATACTAACAATTTATGTCTTAAATTAGTTACCATAATATTTTAAGTGAAAGCATGAAGGCTTTTCAGAGAATGGTACATGTAACGTCTTTCCAAGGGAATAAAAAAAAATCATCTTCCATAAATGCCAATGTAATCTTTTATATTTATTTTTTCAGGCCATCTTCCACCAGCAAAATCCAGTTCTTTTGCCAGGCCCTAGTGAGTTTCAAGATGACCTTGAAATAATGGAATCTATGATTTCAGATGAAATTCACAGTGAGGTTGACTTAGAAATCATGGATTCTGGTTCTCAAGAAGAAGTGTACTCGATTCACAGTGAGACTGCCTCAGAAATAATGGATCCTGGACCAGAAATATACACCAACTACATTAACATAATGCCAGAAAATGATTTACCTGAGCCAGATGACCAAGAACAGCAAGATGGTTCTGAAGTCATGTAAGTAGATATTATATTTTGAAACTGTTGCTTTGTTTAATTTTATGTGACCTAGTTGTATTTGAAAACTTTATTTTGATTAGTTGTTTACTTATTGGCTGACTGCTGTATGATAACATTGTTAGGAATTTGGAGGACCTTGTCTCTTCTACAGAGGAGATACTTTTGGAGCTTGGGCAAGAAATAAACTACAACTTAAACTGCAGATTCAACATTAATCGAAAAAATGTACTAGATGGTGCATTCAGAGCATTTGGACGAAAATCCTATGATCCCTTCAGGAGAATTTCTGTCCGATTTTCTGATGAATGTGGAAACTTTGAAGAGGCTGTGGATTTGGGAGGCCCAAGGAGGGAGTTCCTTAGTTTGCTGATGGAAGAAATGGAAAAATCTGCAATGCTTGCAGGCCCAGATGGACGAAAAAACCTTGCGCTTGACTCAGTTGGTGCGCCCTTTTATTTGATCTTTGTCAATCACTCAAAAATATTTTTTAGTAACTTAGAGACACCAATTCATATCTTTTTAAGTTAATTTTTAACAAAGATGTCAATATGCTGAAGGTGAGATTTTTAGAGGGTAGTAACCTGTTGTAGTTTATCCCCTTTTCACATTGTAATAATAATTGTCAATATTCTACTTCAGCTGTCAGAGAAGACAGATACTATCTTGTTGGAAAAGCTATAGCTGTCAGCATGGTTCACGGGGGACCATCTCCAGGATTCTTTTCGTCCACTTTATTTGAATGCATCAGTAATGGACAAGTCTCACCCACCATAGAAGATGTGAATGACTTGGACTTACAAGCTAAAATCAAAAAGGTAATTTTTGTATGTTTATAAAAATATTTATACACTCAACTGCAAACTGTTTTATAAAAATGTTTAGTTTATTTAAAATGTCACTATTTCCATAGTAATGGATTAAAAAATGCGTGTATGGATTTTTTCCCCAGATTTCACATGCTGCAACCATGGAGGAGTTATGTGAGGCAACAGAGTGTTTGAGTGAATACCTGGCAAATGCAGGATGCCTTCGAGCTGTAAAATGCCTAAAAGACAAAGATCTGCTTTTACAAGACATCCTACTGTTCCAAGTTGTGAACAGACTCCACGGTCCACTTGAACGGTAATAATGATATATGATTACATGAAGAATAGTCCATTCTAATTGGTCAGTTGCACCATTAAAGGGATAGTTGACCCAAAAATGAAAACTCTGTCATTTACTCATCCTTAAGTTGCTCCAGACCTGTATGCATTTCTTTCTTTTGATAAACCCAAAAGATGATGTCTGATGACAACACAGCTGTTTTACGATTAGCCAAATTCACCACATGACAATGATGACGTGTTTTGGGTTTATTATAATATGTTCAATTGCAACAATGCTCGCAAATCTGTGTTTTTAGAACAGTAAAAGCTTTTTACTGTAGTCACAATGTTATATTGAGTCATAATCATCATAAAACACTGATAAAAGCATATATACCCCCACTTTATTGGTATTTAAATAGTATGTTTATATTGAATTTTACTCTTGAACAGATGGTGCTGTATTAAGCAGTATATAAAAAGTGTTTCTGTTGCTCATGAAAACGTTTCTGAAACATCTATGTATTTGACAAATATTGCATTTAGTTTACTTCATCTGTGATAGAGTAATAAGAGTATGCAAACACCATGCAAGTGTCACTACCGGGAGCAGAAAGTGTCTGACTTAACATCTCCGCTTTCAATTCTGCCCCTGACTAAAAGAGGCAACTCTCGCCGATTGGTCTGTGCAGCGCTGCATGAACTCGAACACACCTATCATCTGCAGGACACTGGCCCTCCAGGACCAGGGGCCTCATTTATAAAATGTTGCGCAGAAACCATCCTAAATTTGATCCTTACGATCATCTCTCAGATATGCGTACGTGCGATTCATAGAATGATCGTACGCACAGAAAACGCACGTACGCCTCTCTTCCTCTCTTTCAATCTATGAATCGCAAATGATCTTGAACTTGCGCACAAATGAATGGTTTCAGCTCTCTGCCTTGTAAACGTGTAAACGATAATGTCATTAACATAAAAAAAGATCACGAGTCCTTGTCCAAATTCTTTAACTTATGATAGCTCGCTGCAAGAACAGCTTACATTTCCCAAAGACATTTTTCATAAATAGGAGCGCTGGGATGGATTTAAGCGTACGCACAATCTAAGATCAAATCTGTGCATACGCACGCTTTATACATGAGGCCCCAGGATTGGACACCACTGATCTAATTATAAAGCCTTTTTCATGTTTATTTATTCTTTTCACAGAGGGCAACTCTAGCTGCTCACTAGACAAAATTCTTAAATTTGCAACGGGATGCAGTGTTCTGCCTGCAATTGGATTAAAGCCACAGCCATCCATTGAGTTCTTACACCCCTTCGATTCTTCACCTTGGTATGCTTCACAGAGAGAGAAGTTTCCAACTGCAAACACGTGCATCAACTGCTTGCGTCTCCCTTTGCACAAGAGCTATGACATGTTTAAGTCTAATATGGCCTTTGCCATTTGCAACACGCAAGGGTTTGGTCAAGAATAGGATGAGGAAAAATGTAAACATCTACTTTGCTGACAAGTTTGTTGTTTTGGGTTTCAAAAAATGGTTAAGGAGTTTAGAAAAAGTTAGTTGGTGGCAATCCAACAAGTTCGTGAAAAACCTTAAATATTAAATCCCAGTAAATTTGATAAGTTTTATGCTGAAAGAGTTTTAAACTGTTCTTAATACTGATAAGATCAAATCTGTGCATATGCACGCTTTATACATGAGGCCCCAGGATTGGACACCACTGATCTAATTATAAAGCCTTTTTCATGTTTATTTATTCTTTTCACAGAGGGCAACTCTAGCTGCTCACTAGACAAAATTCTTAAATTTGCAACGGGATGCAGTGTTCTGCCTGCAATTGGATTAAAGCCACAGCCATCCATTGAGTTCTTACACCCCGTCGATTCTTCACCTTGGTATGCTTCACAGAGAGAGAAGTTTCCAACTGCAAACACGTGCATCAACTGCTTGCGTCTCCCTTTGCACAAGAGCTATGACATGTTTAAGTCTAATATGGCCTTTGCCATTTGCAACACGCAAGGGTTTGGTCAAGAATAGGATGAGGAAAAATGTAAACATCTACTTTGCTGACAAGTTTGTTGTTTTGGGTTTCAAAAAATGGTTAAGGAGTTTAGAAAAAGTTAGTTGGTGACAATCCAACAAGTTCGTGAAAAACCTTAAATATTAAATCCCAGTAAATTTGATAAGTTTTATGCTGAGAGTTTTAAACTGTTCTTAATACTGATTTTACTGATGTTGAAAAAAATAAGGGTTTCAAAAAGGGTCTGAGAGTTTTGCATCAAATTTTGTTTTGCATCAATTTTAATAGACATAACTGAAAAATAAAGACATGCAAAGAGTTTTGAAAGGGTTGTTGATTTTTTTGTAGTATGATATACACATACAAAACTACATTAAGGGCACTAAATCATTAAACAATATTTTGTTCATGCTTTTTATGAATGTTTGTTTAACAGAATGGAAGTTGAAAAACCTGACAAAAGATCATGTCTCTGCAAACAATTAACAAATATTCTAAAACTTTGGTTGTACAGTAATACAAAGATTAAGTCGTGGCCTAATGGTTAGAGAGTCGGACTCATAACCCAAAGGTTGTGGGTTCGAGTCTCGTACCGGCAGGGATTGTAGGGGTGGGGGGAGTGAATGTACAGTGCTCTCTCCCACCTTCAATACCACGACAAGGTGCCCTTGAGCAAGGCACCGAACCCCCAACTGCTCCCCGGGCGCTGCAGCATAAATGGCTGCCCACTGCTCCGGGTGTGTGTTCACGGTGTGTGTGTTCACTGCTGTGTGTGTGCACTTTGGATGGGTAAATGCAGAGCACTAATTCCGAGTATGGGTTACCATACTTGGCCACACGTCACTTCACTTTAAAACACTACAGAAAAAAAATGAAAATCTGTTTTCATTCAGTCAGTGACAGTCGTTGGGAAATTTCATTGCAGCACATTTGATATTTCAATTTCAAGTCTGCAATGCCTTCTATGGCTCTCAAAACATCTTCCTGTTGCTCCTGGCTAAGGTCAACACTGGGTTGTTGGACATTAACAGCAGGGAACTGGTCATCCAATTCAAGCGGGAAGCTGTGAATTCCATGTTGGGCCAGAAGTGCCTCTATATTGTGCTCTCTGAATGGATCATCACCAAATACATGGTTGATAGAGGTGCTATCTACTCCCATGTTTGTCAGCATCCCATCTGTCCAGATCTGAGAGGGTGTTCGGTTATTTTCTGTCCTTAGACGGTGATGATTCCATGCTTCATGAAACCTGCTCAGTCTAGTTTGTATTTCAGGTAAGTACACAAGCTGAAGAGAAACCTTGTGAATGTCATTTTCAGGATCTAGACTGCCACTGTCTTCAAGGCTGTAGAATTCATTGTAGAAACAGTGCAAAACATGCAGGAAAACATCCCTCCAAAGACGCTCGATCCTCTGATTGTGCACAGATTCCCCTGTGATGTGGCTTCTGTGCTCTACACCATGAACAAGATTCATGAACAATGCCACTTGTGTATTTTCTCCACCATGATCTGACCGCACTCTGGATGGAAGTCCGTAAACACATGTGGCTTTTAAGAACTGTGTGAGCACCGTGACAGCTCTGTTGTCTGTATTACAGTTCAAGTATGTTATCAGGCGAGAATATCCATCTATTGCTCCATGAATGACTAATCCCCATCTAAAAAAAAAAAAACATGCACCAGAAAATTATTTTGCAAGTCTAGACTATTTGTAATTGTTATATTTTTAGGTCCAGCTTGCCTCAACACACCTGTAATGCCTAATGTTGTGTTAGTGTTGTAATGTTTAATTATAATACTATGTTAAAGAACACTAGGGGAGATGGTCCTCACTGCAGAACACAAGATCCAGGGGGCATGGTTGGATCCAGTTCCAACTCCTCCCACCTTATGTATACCTAAACCTACCCGTCTCCACCCCCTGATTACTAAACCCACTCATCTCCACCCCCTAGATCTGGATCCAACCACGCCCCCTGGATCTTGTGTTCTGCAGTGAGGACCATCTCCCCTAGTGTTCTTTAACAGTATTATAATTAAACATTACAACACTAACACAACATTAGACATTACAGGTGTGTTGAGGCAAGCTGGGCCTAAACTAAAAATGTAGGTTTGGAGAGACCAAATAAAATGAGTTGTTCTACCGACATATCTGGACTGGACTTATTATAAGAACATTATAACACCTCTTCGAAGTTTTTAGCATGCCTACTAATAATATTAGTTTAACATTTTAAACAGGGCCGTAACCACTATAGACAAAGGGGACAAGTCCCAACAAAGAATTAGAAATTGCCAAATTCCATTATATTTTTAGGCTGATCTGCCTCAACCTTGTAACAGCACTTGTCAAGGTCAAAATCAAAGCGTCGGTTTAAACACTGAAAGAGGTTTAAGTAGTGACACATTTAATACATGACAACTGTTTTACAGTTGAAATGTTGAACTACCAACAGTAATATCCAGCAATGCAAACTGCTTAATTTTTTCCCCTCCAGTGTGGTCGTTCTGAACTTAAAAATATGGAATCATTTACACCAGTGGTTCTCAAAGTGTGGTAAGAGTAGCACTAGTGGTACTCAGGCTCTCTCTAGTGGTACGCAGAGGAATAATTAAATTTAATGAATGTTAAAACACAATACATTTTAATTTAATCTTTATTTGAGTAAAGTTGTTTTTATATTTAAGTACAGTACAGTTTTTATATAACTTTTAGGTACAACACATTTTAATTTAATCATTATTTAAGTTTCTTTTTTTGTAAGCGCATGTAAGCACAGTGCAGTGTTGATGTTCAAACTGAACATTTACAATGTTAAAGTTTATTTAAAGTTTTTTTTCAACTGGGCCATTATGGTGGTACTTTGTATAAAAAGTTTGAGAACCACTGATTTACCCGATTCAAGTGATTTCTAGCTGAATGTGACGAGACAATAAACTGCTCTGCATTTTCAACATATTTGGCATACATTTATTTGCTTGCTTGCTTGAATTGATTAATTAACAAAAAGGCAGTCACACCAGAACATGGGGTTTAACAAAATTGTAAATACCTGATAAGGCGCATATTCCCATCCATGTGCCACAGACTGTTTGGATATGGCACATAATATGTTCTTCTGGCTACAGCGGCACTCCATCTACGTGCAGCAGCTGCTGGGTCAATGTTACTTAACATCACTCTCACTCTGTGTCGTGTTACCAGCAATCCCTCGGCTCGCAGTAATGCTCTCATCACCTGTGATGTAGTATGCAAACAATGACACAAAGAATTTGATTAAAAGTATTATAATTGAAGAACTTCAGTCTTAACAAAAAAAATCAACAAATAAAAAGCATTTTTATAGTTTACTCACACACTCCGCAAACCGGTATGAATTAAAAAAAAAATGTAATGTTTGTATTTGCATGTTCATAATTCCCAGTTGGTTTTATAAGATATAAATAAATTGTTAACACAGTTTAAAAAAAAATCAGTGGCTACAAAGTTCATATTTACAGCAATTTAATGTTGTAGAACACAATGTGAAATTAATAGGCTAAATGAAGTACAATGATAATTAAAACTAAATTTAAATAAATTAACATTTAAAATTGAATTATGATGTTGATGTTAAAAAAAGTTTAAATGAAAAAAAAAAAAAGTTACCTCATTTCCAGATCTAGGATAGAGTATATGAAGTCGTCTAATGCGCCTTTCCAAATCGTCTTCAGTCAGTGAACTTGACTGCCTAATTGACATCCCCAACGCTTTTGTCCTCTTATATAGAAATGATGCAGAACATCCCAAAAGTCGAGCCATGCGCTTGATGGTGTAGCCCTGTGCCATAAAGAATTCCAACTGCTGCCTCGTCACTGTGATTTTGGGTCTCCCTCGCCGACCTATTAATAATATACACAGAACCATTATACAAGTGCTGTTAAGCAAAATTCACTAGCAACAATTATAAACAGACATTTTAATCAAAATAAAGGTTTGCTTTGTTACGTCTTGTTTGATTGTGTAAAAGTATATTGAACAAATCAAATGTACCTGAGAAGAAGCACACTTATTTATTAAAGTCGCACGAATCTGGATACATTTTGAATTGTTTAAAATAGAAATCGCGACTGACACAATTCTAAAGTTTAAATGAAAAAAAAAAAAAGTTACCTCATTTCCAGATCTAGGATAGAGTATATGAAGTCGTCTAATGCGCCTTTCCAACTCGTCTTCAGTCAATGAACTTGACTGCCTAATTGACATCCCCAACGCTTTTGTCCTCTTATATAGAAATGATGCAGAACATCCCAAAAGTCGAGCCATGCGCTTGATGGTGTAGCCCTGTGCCATAAAGAATTCCAACTGCTGCCTCGTCACTGTGATTTTGGGTCTCCCTCGCCGACCTATTAATAATATACACAGAACCATTATACAAGTGCTGTTAAGCAAAATTCACTAGCAACAATTATAAACAGACATTTTAATCAAAATAAAGGTTTGCTTTGTTACGTCTTGTTTGATTGTGTAAAAGTATATTGAACAAATCGATGAGCTCATAATAAGTACGGAATGCGTTTAATTATGCCTTAAGCGTTTTACTGTGTGAAAATTATTATATTTCTGGCTTTAAATGGGCTGGAAATTTAAATTCACACATAATTACTATAGGCAATAATCAAAAGACCAAAATATAAGACAATTTGAATTTATTTGGGTGAATACAGCGTTTATAATAGTAAATTTAAACTCGTTTAACAAATATTTTAGAAATAAAAATGTAACATTTAAAAGTAGCATTTTGATTTAAGAGCATTTTCATTTGTGTATTCAACCGTTCTCTGTAATCACTTTTCACCGAAATAGCGCTAATTCTCGTGCCCGATGTGTCGCCGAAATCTGACCCGGTTATGGGCTGCTGTTCGGCGGGGGAACTATTAACCTTAGACCGCCGGCTATTGGAATAAGTACTAGTATCTAATGAAAACGTACTAGTATCTAATGATTAAGTACTAGTATCTAATGAATAAATACTAGTAACTTTACAAAAGACACTAGTACCTAAAGAATAAGCACTAGTACCTAACGAATAAGCACTAGTACCTAATGAATAAGTACTAGTACTTAATGGAAAAGATACTAGTATCTAAAAAATAAGTACTAGTAGCATGAAAATAGATACTAGTACGGCTTATAGATTAAATGTTAAACCCGGTTATGGGCTGCTGTTCGGCGGGGGAACTATTAACCTTAGACCGCCGCCTCGCGTTTCACTCCTAGCTGAAAGATGCCGTGACTCCATAATATCTGTTTTGATAGCATACCTGAGCGAATTCGAGGGACTATGAAAATAGAATATTAATGTCTAAAAAAAATTTTCAATAAATTAATATGCAATGATAAAAAAGTGAAAAGTGATTCTTTTAAATACTAAAACCGCCAGTAGGTGGCGGCAAGTCACTGTCTTAATGCGTGAGTCATCGAGTAATTTGTTCATTCAGTAACTAAGCAAGTGGCTGTATTTATAAATGAATCATTGAATCAATGACTTTCGCGAACGATTCGTTCACGAAACACCG